CTTGACTTACAGCACTACAAAGTAGGCTCCCAGACTTTTGCCCCACCCTGTAGTTCCAGCCAAAATATTTTGATAATGATATTCTTTAAGAAAAAAATCAAATTTCTCACCAAATTTTAGGAAAATGAAAGAGTAGACGCAAAACCGACATAAAAACACCGCAAGTAAGGTTTTTGAAATGACTCAACACTCCGCATCTCAACATAAGGGTTGAGCCAGAGTGCGCGGCGTACGCGGAGTACGTGACGTAGCAGCGTACGCTAGGTATGTTTTGTTATAAGAGCGAACGCGAAATACACTGCGTACGCCGCCTACGACACGCAGTCTGGCCCAACCCTAAAGGAAGGTTCACGTACACGACCACGAACTACAACCGGGTAGGGGACGAAAGCCGCGAGTTTGAACCGCCTCCGCGGACTGCTGGTCCTGAAACGACATGCGACAACACTACAAAAAGACCAGCTCGCCGCGAAAGCCAGCTCACAAGGGAATGGTCAGAAGTCGAAATGGCCAAACCAAACAAGCTGTATACCATTTGATGCAGTATAAAACGCTGACTTCTGATCTGTCTTTCTTATCTGCTTTCCGCTTGTGGATGAAACTACAAGTGGTTTTATTGTGAAAAAATCACACATGAATACAGCGAAATTGATTACACTGTTGCACTTTTAGCTCAGCTTCTTTCTTCAAAAATTTGAAGTAGGCTAGACGCACGTTTTGGCCCAACGTTAAGGCGAACGTGGCTCTGCAAGGCTGAATTTTCAATTTCACGCGTAATTTCTTGGCAAAATAATGGTCTTTAATGGCTTGTAGCTTCGCTCACAGAAGCGGGAAGCAGATAAGAAAGACAGATTTGAAGTCAGCGTTTTATACTGCATCGAATGGTATACAGCTTGTCTGGTTTGGCCACTTCGACTTCTGACCATTCCCTTGTCAGTGTGGCGGCCTTCATTCCCCTCAGGGCCCGGCACGAAACTGTTTCTAGGGTTTTTGAAAACGAAGTCCCCCCTAACTTTCGAATATTTTACGAAGTCCCCTTTGACCCTTGCCCTATCCCACCCCCTCTCCCCTTCCCCCCCCCCCCCCACCACCCTCCGACTGTGTGAAAAGCAAACAAAAGTATACACATATAACTTTATTCAGACACTTTAATTTCTGAAAAAAAGTACAAAGTAAAAAGTAAAAAGTAAAAAGTAAAAAGTAATAGTATTTTTATCCCTACGGTGCCTCGATACGAGTAGAGCCAAAATGCACACGATAGCGCAGGATTTGGAATTTTTTCTCATGTAAAGATAATCACTAAAGGTTAAGAAGAACAAACAGACAACCACAGCGAAGTTAGATGCACACACAGTACAAAGTATGGGAAGAGCAGCGTTCAAAGAAATCAACGCATCTCATCTTCATCGACTAAGGCATTCGGATCCATCATACCTAAAATGGCGTTTTTCTTTGCTTGTACAGCTTGAATCTCAGCTTCTCTTTCTTCGAGAAACAAATCCAACGTATCCTCACCATTGAACTCCTTCAAATTCAATTTGTAAATCGGTGCAATTAATTTACCTTTATCTGGATGAGGAAATTACGCAGATGATTGCGCATTCCACTTTGATCAGTACTGAAACTGAAGAATCCTTTGATGAGGACTTGAATTTGACCCCTAAATCACATAAACCATCCGTAAAGCCATGGAAAAGTAGAACGCAAAGGGCAAAAAACACAGCATGAAGTTCTTGAATAGCCAAACTTACTCTGTAAGATTAGTGAAATGCTGCACAAAAATGCTAGCAATTCTAATTGCATATAACAATTCTCGGAAGGAGTCTAGGTAATGGATGGATAAAGCAAAGCCTACAGGAAACAGCACAACTTTTTCTACTTTCCAGATCTCGTCATAATTTTTGTATAGATTTTTTGATGGAACCACCGAATTTTGGCAGGCTCGTTTCAGACACGAATACCTCAAACACCAATAAATCTTCGGATTTTGAAACTTATAAAGATGGATTATGGTTTGACACTAATTTTACAAACCAGGTGAGCATTCACCGCTTCAGAATAGCAACTTTCGAAATTTCGGGGTAAGGCCTGGGGCGCCTTGGAAAACCTGAATTATGATAATTTTATCCAAATTGATGAATCGGAAACAAAAAACAACGGTCAAAAAGAGGAGAAAAAGCTGCGTCGAATGATACCCGAGTTGCTTGCCAGTTGTTGTTCTGTGAGGTTTGAGGTGACCAAATATGGAATTTCATATCATTGAAAAACTGATTCCACAAGCTCTAAGAAGCAAGCTAAGGAAAAGAAAAAATTAATTTGCGTCCTATAGGGTTTGCTCTATCTACCAGTTGCTTGAACTTCTCCGGAGAATAGGTACAAAAATTTAGAAAAGTAGCCGAACTTGACCTTGGTAAAAAGCATGAGTCGCAGATTTTGGTAATTTTTCGAAAGCTTATTAGATACTATGCAATGTATTTGTAAGCGTTAGAAAGAGGATAAAATGCAGCATCGAATGCTCCTAAATTTTATTGAAAATCTTGATTCCATGAAATGTGGCGCTTATTTGAAAAAAGCGACATTACTTTCGGAACGACCTAATATATATATATATATATATATATATATATACCAGTGTGTCACTTCTGCTTCGCAGAAGATCGCATTGGCTCTACTATCCATACCTTCTTCGTGATAGCATGATAATGAAACTTTGAAACTCACCGCGCGATGCTGAACATCACGAATGAATTGTAAACAACCATTCATTTTTAGAGCTTGTCCATGTGAGATCGGTAATTTTGGGAGAAGAAATTTTCCCGCAGAAAAATAAATGCGATTTTGAATGGGTTACTGAATTTATTTTGGCTTCATAATCGCCATAAGGATAATGACCACTTTGAGCTACATATCTACTCAAAAATCCTCTCAATTCTTGCAGTAAAAACTTGGCAAATCGACAATTTGCTCAGTTACATTTTTTGGCGCCAATTTTGTGCAAAATGGACTTTTTGCTTACTTTTTGAGCCAAAGCTAATGTTTTTCGGATTTACTTGCTGAACAAATCCGCGACTTTGCAAAGAGTCCAATTACCGACCCATTTTGGCGGGCCAAAAGTCTCGTGGATCCTTTTGACGCGCAGTTTTCAATGGTTACACTTGGATCGGCTTGTGATTTTGCACAGTTTACCTATACGCTGACAAAGTGCTATGACCAAAATTCTAGATCAAGACGCTGGCTGCAACTCACTCTGGGAATTTCGTGACAGACAGATATATAAACACGCAGACAAATAGACAGACGCTTAGCGCTTTATTAGAAGTCATGATATACCCCTTTAGCTGGCAGCGGGCCAAAGGAGTGGTTTGGAGGCTAGTGCGGGCTGAATAGCCGGCAAGAAGTGCTTTTGGCCTCCGTACTTCTACGAGCGCTTGCATCGCGGAGTCGCGACAAGCCGGATGTTTTCCGACTGCACAAACTTCTGGAATTTTCAGCTGACAACTGTTGTGTGCTGGACAATCCTCAAATCCATATGTTTCCCATTTTGCTCCATAGAGCTGCAAAAGCTGATGTTTACAGTGCACATGGTTAGTGACTAGTTTATTGGCTAAATCTATCAGATAATCGAAGCAATCCACGTTTCAAAGCCTCGGAACTTTTCCGAGAATTGTGGCCATATCAACTAGTTTATTTAAACTACTACTAAGATGAACATTTTAGCATTGTAAAGGGTCTCATTCTGATTCCGTGACAGGGCTATGTCTACATCTTCAAATGCACTCATAAATATGAAGCAACGGATTTTGAGTATGTTATCAGCCGCTTAAAGGTTTACTAATTCCGGAAGATAGAACTATCGTGTGCAAGAAGGGACTGACCTACAAACTCAATTGATTGCAAGGGTTGAATTGAAGCTTTTATATATATTCCCTCGCTCCGAGTAATAGCAGCTTATGCTACGACTAATAGATGTCCTACTATGTGCCAGTTTTGATGGAGACTTTATTGTTCCGAATTACACTAGCCAAGAGCCTTGAATGCTAGGTATAGATCAACTGAACTCTAGCGGTCCACGTTGAAACTCCGCATCTCTGTAGTATTGTTTACGCAAAATCAGCGTTGATAAACAGTGACGCAATACATGTGGGTATACAGCCAGATCCTACGTGCAGATAGGCTTCAAAGCGAAGCCAAAGAAGCTGATTTTAGTACCTACTGTTTCGGGAAAGTCCGAAAAAGAGAGCAAAGCTGAGGTGAAAGTATAAAGTGTTTGTGGCTTTCAAATCTCACTGCAATCATGCCTCATTTTTCTTTCTCGTTTTTCCTTTCCTCTCCTTTCCATTTTCGTCTTGAGGTAAACTAGAAAATTTTGTAAAAAAAACGAGATCATGGAGGACTTTGGAGGGACCATCCACCCAGATTCTCGACTCCCAGTTTTTTGTCGTTTCAGGGCCTTCTCATGTCCTTCATTCCGATTTTGTCGAAAATCCGCGAACATTTCAAAATACCCGTTCCGAAGAGCAGGCTGGTCCTCTTGAACGGTGATTGGATGGGAGAGCACGGAGGGTGGGCTTGGATGGGGAAGTCGGCGTATGGGGATCCTCGTGCATCTTCGTTATTCCGAAGCAATTTTCTCGCTACCGAAGCGACATTTTGCGCCGCGACTTAGGCAATGGCTTGATAAGAAACCCTGCTATCTTATGCTGCCAAAAGTTCAAGACTCTCAACTTAAAGTGGACGGTGCCTTTTATGCTGAGCTCATATAGCTTAAGGGATTGACAAGAAGGAAGTAGAGAAGGCGTATATTTTCTATAACAAGTGCATCTTTGAGACTCGTTTAGGTAAAATGACTGACATAAACACGTGTTTCATACACCACAAACTTGCGTGAAATGCGAAAGTCTTTATTTATTTTATCTTTGCCTTAACACTTTCTTTGTCCTTGAATCTTCTTCCAGAGCTGCCATCCGACAATCCATTCTTCGTATACCTTGCCAACATACCTTGATGGGATGTCTATGCAGAATGTAATGGGAGAACCCTAAACAGCATTGGTGTTATCTTACAATTGGTAATTCGATCTAATTAATCATCAGCAACGAAAAAACAACCGTACTTTTTGATTGCACCAATGTTTGACCATGAGAAAAGGTTTGAATAACTTTTTAGCCTTGCCTTCAATTACAAACATTCCTCTGTCCTTCGGGTGGATGGTTTTAGAAAGTCGTCGACGTCGACGACCAACTGAAATTGAAGTTTGAATTGTGCTCAACTTCGCACTTTTGACTCACCAGGTGCCGTATCGAAAAAAGTGATTTGCGCATCATTGGCTGGTAAAAATTGACAAAAAATATCCCCCTCTACTCGAATTGTCATCGATTTGATTCTTTTAGGCGCAACGTAGCAATATGGGAGAAGGTACAAGAATAATAGTACTCGCATTCTGCATTAACTCCTTTGCCTTTTATTTGTCATATAATAAGCAATGGTTTAAGCAAATCGACAATTACTCCACCTGAATCTGGCAACTAGTCATCAACGAGTTAACTCGTTGAGTTAACAGGTGTTTCAATGACTTAGCATTGGATCACTTATAAGCTCCTGCAAGACGAAGGCGGTTGGTTCGATGTGCAACGCGGTTGCGACATAGCTTCGTCACAGCAGCGTCACAGCCGCGTCACAGCCACGTCGCGCCTCGAACCAACCGCCTTCGTCTTGCAGGAGCTTATACTATTTTGTGAATATGATTGCATGATGCTGCACTTTTGTTACTGCATGTACACCTTTCCTCATGCTAATAGGAGAGGCTAAAAAAACAATAAAAAACAAAAAAAAACAAAAACAAAAACAAAAACACAAAAAAATCATAGAAACATATCGTTCGATAAAGTAAAGCTCCTAAGGTACCCTTTAAACAGTCGCAAAATGGTTTCTGCATCAATTAAGCTGAAAATAATATCAAACCTTTGAAGATTGAATTTTACCATCCTCTTACTTTCCTATGCCTATACTCTCAGCATAAGAGTTTAATAGAAACAGATCGTATTTTTCTCGTATAAAATCAAGAATGTGAATAGAAATACTGTAGGCAAAACAATGCTGGCTTCTGTCCACATTTTTAATTCTCTTTTTGCAAGCACAATTGGAAATTTTGTGTTTTTTACAAGCGTTGTTTTTCAAAAATAAATAAAATGTCGCGTAAAAACCGAACGGGAGACATTTTGGTATTTCCTACCATATTTTTTCTTATTCTATTTGCAAGAAAAATAGAGCGGCTGCTCCCATAATTCAAGAACTTTTTTGCATTTTATAAATATGTATTCGACTAGGAGGTTGTACATTAACAAACTGGATTCCGGGGATTTGGACGGAAACTCGATTGTTACGCCTTTGAATTTTCTGGACCTTGACTTCAAGCTTAACGTAGTCCTTGCGCGGATGCTTTAACTTTCTCTTGTAGAGCTTGCTTTGCTCTAGAGAACAATCTGATCTTGAGAGAGCATCACTGGTAACAAACATGTACAGATATGGGACTGAACGAGACTTTACTTATCTGCATAGTCGAGCAAAACAGAACAAACCGTCGAAGAAAAGAAAGCGTACCAGTATAGAATGCGTTTCAACGGCTATTTATGTGAGCAGCTTCGATATAATCGCAATAATAGTTTGATTTTTGATGGAATTTGGTAATTGTCCTGATGTATAGGCGAAATTGTCGTCCCGAAGCATTGCTAGACTATAAAAAAACTGCAAAATCAAAGAGATCAAAGCTTCAAAACATCAATACGACAAGCCAACGATCCAGCAATAAAGTTGACAAAGTAGTTTTATGAAACCTTCGCAAATAGCATGGCGATGAAATTCAAAAAAAAACACAAAAAGCGTCCGCATAAAGTAGAAAACTCGACCATCCCCCTCTAACGCATTTTAAATGGTCCCAGTATTTTCCGCAGAAACAAGTTTCTGTCCGAGTGAACTCGATTTGAGAGAGTGCTATTGCACTGCGAAAGCAAGAAAGCAAGAAAGTACGAATTCTGCTAGCAAAGGGTGCCAGTGGACATAGTGTAACGTCTCGATATTAACATGTTCTGAGGCCTTCACATTTTTGAAGTATAGCCCACTTTTCTGATAGAAAACGCAAAAAAGAAACCGCGCAGACATTTACACAAACAGGCACTCTCATGCATAAAATTCAACCGCAGCGCGTATTAGGTGGTTGCGAGTAGTAAAGCCTGAAGCTAAAACCGAATATTCGCGTCCGAATGAATTATTCAAAAAATACGACTATTTTCTTACTCAAATTATATGTGGCAATGCAGTAATCCAAACATTCATTCATTTCGCATTAAAAAATGGCTTGTCTGAATGATCGATTATTCAGTGTCAAAAGACGTATTCGGATATCCGAATATTAGAAAGTATAGTTGAAATCGAAAATTCGTTTTGAGTTTATTTCAAGGTGACAAGGTGATCATGCAAAGTTACTCGAAGAAAATTGCATCAAGGTTTATCCTGATTGTAAGTTCTGGAGCTTACATTGGGTATCAGCGCAGACTTCAATTCTTCTGTTTTTGATATCTCCATCACAGTACCGTTTTTCGTGCAGGGTCAATATGATATCGTCCATTTTCGAGGTCCAGGTGCCGATGACGCAGTGAATTATTATCATAAGCTTCTGCTACTTCATCACTTTTCTTTTGGACTTGTTTGGATTTCCAAGGGAATAATGAGGTCGGGGGGCGCCCATTACTTGTGGATGTCAATTAGAAATTGCCGCTACGCGGCGTTACAGCAATCCGGGCGAGAGCCAGCAGAGCTACAGAAAATGCCTCAGAGGAAATGCTTAGGGGTCAGGTTAGTATTGTGAACAAAAAGTAATATACTGTCATAAGATAAGTGATAATTTCCATAATCATTCACTTATTTCATTTTTACAAGATTTGGGCCCAAAACTCCACCAAACAGTAAAATTTGATACGGCAATGTGAAAACATTTATAAAAAGTGGAATAATATACCTTGCGAGTCGGCTACCCGACTCTCCTTACAAATAATTACTGCCAGCATGTTGCGCGAGGCGCCTGCGTAATTGACACTCACAAGTAAACCCATGAGGTCAACATGTCGTCAAATTTTTCTCTTTTTTGTCATCAAGTCAACCTCTCGTGGTTCTCCCTTTTTGTATTTGTCAAATTTCGTGATTTTTGCGATTTTCGAACATTTCTGGGTAGGATTGGATCCCTCAGGACTACATCGTCCACTTTCGGGTTGTTTTTTGCGATAGCGTCTCTCCGAAATGTTTTCCTCGCATTTTTCTCTTAGGCTGACAATGTAGTGACCTCTCCAAAGTTTTCAAAAATGTTCTGTGCTTGCGCAAGAAGATTACAAAGCTTTCTCTGCCTGGAGACGGGTTTCTATAAGTTGCATTTCTTTCACATGCTGAAAACGACAAAGACAGAAGACAGAAGATAAAAGGCTCTGACAGTTGGACCTGGACGTACCGAAGCTGGTTGACGACGAAGAGCAAGTTGCAGAAGAACCATTAGTCTTACAAGAGCAAGGTGACGATGACTGCAAGACAACAACAACAACAACAGCAAGGTGACACAACTGCAAGACATGATAACTCAACGTCGCCAACTAAGAGAGGATATTGAAAAATTGAGAAAACACTGAATGCGTTGCTCTTCCGACAATTTGGGGATGTGGAAGGAGGGACCCATATGCAAGTAACTTGTGCTTTCTTTTGACAAAAACCAGCATTTCTCGGAATTCTGCCCCTAGGTAATCGACGGAAACGACAGATTGATAACATAATGAAAGGGTCTGTGCTCGATGTGTCTCCATCATTGAACATCCGAAAAATGCCCAAGGCACGATTGCCGAGAAGTTTCCACCTCGCGATACTGGACATCACAAGGCCCAGCGAGCGTAGCGACCTTTCCATATTCTTGTGCTCCATGCATTAGTGTATTTTTTTACTGAATTCATTTTAATACTGCTGCAAACATGGCGTCAGCAACTGTTGCGCAAATAAAATGCAATGCTCTATGTACTTCTAAGGCAATACAACAATAATCGTCGAAGTCGACTACCACATTGATTTGGGAGAAGATATCACCGACAGAATCGCTTATATTTCTCTTCACCATCAGAATCTGTGGGATAATCGTGTGTCATTCCCTCGATATTTATTTAATGGTCGACAACCTAGATTTATGATAACGCTAGGAATAGAGAATAGAGAAGAATATACTTTTACTTGCGTTGACCTGACCGTGCAACTTTTGGCGGCTCCGTGGGCTTCAACCACCTACCCAGACAGTCGACGGCATACCTCCGGAGCAGAAATGGCCGAGTCGCGGGGTTTTCCCAGCGGGGGATTCCACTCGTGCTCCGGAGCCCTCCCATTTTGTGCTCCGGAGTCCTCCCATTTTGTGCTCCGGAGACCTCCCATTCTGTGCTCAGAGATGTCCCAAATCTGGCTATCTCCGGAGCAGAGATTTGCGCGTCCCGGAGAAGGGTTCCATTCGCCTGCCTGTGACGTCACCGTGACCTACAAGAAGGGACCGCCCCTCGCCCCGCTCTCAATGGTCAGTTGGGTCCTCCGCGGCTCTGCCAGATTTCGACTGTCCGCCGCGACTACGGCACCGATTGTCTGAGTAATCTGACCCAAGTGTCCTGCTCAGACAATCGCCAGGGCGCGGTCCGCAAACTTGCGCTTTTCTGCAAGCAATCAGCAAAATCTTATGGCGTGTCCAAACCTTCAGCGAGCGTCCGTGTTCTGCCAGTGGGCAGCAATACAAAATTTGTTGCGAGTACTTGTCAAATAAGTTATTCCAGCAAACGCTGACCAAATTTTCAGCAAGCGCTCGGACTCCTTTAACGCAGTTTCGGGGGTAGGCCGAGTGAAGGTGAGACTCTAAATGGTAGAGGTGCCATTTATAATTTTATTACCTTAGTTTGGGGTACCTTTCCTTAGCTGAAGGTACCTGCGGGCTGTGCGGTCCTTCATAAAGGACCGTGCGGCCCCCAACATCCTTGATATTCTCGCGGAAAGCCCACGAGAATGCGGCCACTGCGCCGCAACTAACTTATGATTAATCCCCACACGTTGGCTCAAAAAATGTGTGCCCGCTTGCTTACAAATCGCATGGCCGTCTACCCCCGGCAATCCTCTAGGTGTGTGCTCGCCCGCTTAAACATACAACTAAACCTAGTCTACTAGTTATGCATAGCGCGCGGTCACATGAAGTACGAACAGTTTATTCTAATGACAAAGGAGATAAACAAGAGCCACACTAAACAACAACTATACAACAATACTAACTACTACCAGGACTAAGCCTCCAACACGGATCAGGGCCGGTCTCGTATAATGGTGCGTTTCTATTGTAACTCTTATACGGTTGCTCCTGAGACTTCAATTAAGAATCCTCATGGTGAAGACAGGGCACAACTGCACCTCCGCTCTTAAAGCTCTGATCGCCATAATCCGCAATTCCAAGCCTTTTCAAA